CCGCGGGAATGATGGAGAACAGGGGCGTGGCCAGGTGACAGAAGAGGATGGTGGAGTCTGCCGGTAGAGCGATCGGTCTAGAACCAGCGAGAAGGTTCGAGAATGAGGGCGTGGCCTCGGACCGTATACAATGGAGATGCGCGGGAGACTCGGGGCTGTTGCGAGCACGTGGCTCCTTAATAAAATAAAAAATAAAACATCTCAAGACAAGTGCGTCCAAGTCGTCATTACACATTTGATGCGATGCCGTGCCTACGTCGCTTTGATTCGTCGCTGTACTCTCTCCTATCGTTATTTACTCTTCACTTTTTTTACTTTTTTTGTCATTTTGGTGACCTGGATCACTCTGTGGCGCTTTTGGTTCTCGCCTACTTCAAGGCTCACCTTAATTTCCACCACTATTATGTATATTTCTTTCGTTAGCCAAGTCACGCCCTTGTTGTTTGGGGTCGAGTCTAGTGAGAGAGTAATGGATACCAAAGCGGAGGCGATTTAATATCGTTGGTTTGTCTTTAATTTTGTATACAAGCTCCCCCCCACCCCACACTCTCTGCCTGCTTTCACACCATAGCGTAGATCTGGACAACACGGTGCGCTTACAGCATACCACAGGGCGACCCCTTTGTCACACACCTCTGAGGCTGCACGCGTACCCTAACAAAGATCTCCCGTATTTTCTAGATTTGAAGCTTTCGTGACTGCAAGGATCCATACTCTTCGGGACAACAGAGCTTCAAGCTCTGTTGTCCCGACAGTTCTGTTCCTTCACCTGAAGAAGGCCGCTTGTGTTGTGGCCGAAACGGCGTGATTTTTTGTTGTTTTATTTTTTGCCTACGTGACTTTACCGAATAGAACCAAAGAGTATCCCCCCTATAGCCTTAATAGACTGTAGGGGCAAGTGCGTGTATTTTTCTCACGGTTCTTCCACTTTTCCCCTACCACGTTTGCAAACGTGGCTGCCGATATAAAATTTTCCACGCGACAAGCCACTTGCTTGAGCTTTCGTTTGTGATCGTCAGGTCGCTTCCGAGAAAAATATCTCTACAGCCCAATCATCCTGACCTGGTAAAATACAACAAATAGTTTCGTTTCTCGTGTCCTCATCTATTACACACAGCGAAATATTTGTTTCGCCTTAGGCCACACAGGGTTCAGAATCAAAATGTTTCTTAAGACTGCAAGGAGGAAATGGATGACCTATATGAATCTCTTTATTTTTTTTACAGATGTCTAGTCAGGCCGGGTCAGCAAGTTACAACAGCAAACAAACAACAACAGCACACAAAAAACCCCGATAGGAGTGCAAAGTATATGATAGGTAGGCAGGTCACGAGAATTACATAAGTATAAAATATGCAAGTCCAAAGCATTTCACGAGTGCGTAAATTCCCGCCCATGTTCTGAAAACTGAAGTTGAATCTTGGGGCAAGGCAGCAAAAACAACGACTCCGCAAACAGCCCCAGACCACACCAAGATCACAACAGCAGCACACAGTAGGCGGTCCCCCGATGCAATTGCACATTAAAATGTAACTTTCCATACACGAGTGACGATAACAAGTCGCATTTTTTTTGCAATTGCAGTTGTATCCAGCACCAAATCTTCCCCTCCGAGATATTTATTGCCGATGAGAAATGTGCTGAGTTGTTATCGTCAAGTATGTCCTAACAACGCAGCAGCAGCATCGCCGGATCTCTCGGATTCCTACGGAGTGATGTTGAACGCATGAAAGTGAACACGGCGAAGTCATAATACGCAGAGTGGAGGGTGTTGGTTCTGGACATGGCCCTCGGGAGTTGACAGGACACATGTCCGGAGTGGTGGTGGTGGGGGGGGGGAGTGGCGGTGAGAGCGGAGAGAAGTCTAAACTAGGGGTCAGCAACCAGAATATCAAGATGAGTATTTTTTTTATATATATTTGGGTCTTTTGTAAAGTCACGACGATAGGTTTAAAGAAAACAACAACAACAAACAACAACAAAAACCTCTCAATGTTTCAAGAGCCGCAATGCACTGTGGTGGTGGTGATGATGGTGGTGGTGGTGAATACGAGACGTTGGTGCCTTTAAGAATCACGACACGATGCCGTTCCCTCCCGGGGAACCACCGCATGCCGCCCCGCCAGCCTCCGGCTGTCCGACTTGCGGTCTCGACTATACGGGGCCCACACAGCAGGGGGTGGACCTCGCTGAGCCAACGTCGATCTCGGGCAACGTCCGCGCCAAAGGCGAAAAAGACGCCCCCCGATGCAGCCTTGCGAGACTGCCGGAGCCAAGTGCCGCTAGCGTGCAGCTGTGAAGTCTGGCACGCAACGTGGCCCACCAACAAAGCACCCGGACTCGCCGTTGACTCCAAGGTGCTGATTTGGCGTTGACGCACCGCACCAGGAACTCATTCGAGGCCGGATCGACCCGAGGGCGTGACCAGGGATCGGCTCAGATAATCGTCACCGGTGTTGGTGGCCGTGAGCGGGAATGGAACTCGGGTCGTTGGGTTCGATACGGATGCGCGCAAACGGCAGCACAAAAAAAAGATCCTCCGTATAGCCTGATAAGACTCTTGGGGCGAGTGCTGTTAGCTAGCTACTATGAAGGCCGGCACTGCACACGAGGGGGCGGGTGGCCAGCACCACGCCCGGCCGCCTTTGTCTCCCCAGTGAGGATGTTTTACACATCGCACCGGGTACTCATTTGAGACTGAGTCGGCCTAGGGGAGGCACAGGACCGGTTCCGATAATCGTCACTGGTTGTTGGCCGTGAGCGGGAATCGAACCCGAGTCGCCAGGTTCGGAGCGCAGCGTAGCGCTTAACCACTACACTACCGCTCCCCACACACACACACACAAACACGTGCGCTGACGTCACATCATCGGCATCAACACCACACCAACACCATCATCTTCATACCATTAGCATGCAGGGCGCCCAAGGGCCGATTGCGTCAAGTGCACAACTAAATCACTGTACGTATACTCGCTCGGTGTTGCACATCGTCTAGTCCAAGCGCCCTGGTGACGCCACCGCTACTTTAGTTAATAAAAATGCAAATGTATAACGCGAATTCCATCCCCGGATCCCAAATGCGCAACGCATGGAAAAGCAGGAAACAAAAATAAAACCAGCGGGCAACCGACCAAACCAAAGAGGCAAGGCTGAGTTTGAAGAGATGGGGGGTTTTCAAAACAGACTTAAATATACCTCCATAATACAGGGAGGGGTTTTTTTCGGTCGGAGATGGAGATCACTAAGTCAACGTTGCCTCGGGGAATGTCTGTACCAAAGGCACACGATCCCCCCGTGTAGCTATGAAGATTGGCACGTAACGTGGCCAACAACACGCGTATAGGCGATCTAACTCCCCCCCCCCAAAAAAACCCTGCATTATGGATGATATTGGTCACGAAAGCCGACGCATTAAACGTATATATACCTAACGACTTCTTCCTGATTTCAAGTGGCGAGGTGTTCCATAGCTTGTGGACGCCACGCTAACAGAAGCGCCAATCACCAAAAGAGCACAAACCCAGCCTGGACCTGGGAGTGCTGAGCAGTTGGAGATCAAACGATCTTAAGGACCCTGATGGAATATAAAAATTTATTTAGTTCCTGCAATTAGTGTGGGGTGGTGGTGGGGGGGTGGTGAGCACTTTTAAAGCCGCGTTAAAACAACGGTGGAGTTAAATTTCGATTTAAAGCTTTCGTGACTGCAAGGATTCATCTTTTTTGGTTCTTTCGGTAAAGTCACCACGTAGAATGAGAATAAAAGAATAAATTGATAAAATAAAATAACGCAATAATATTCTCACGACGTTTCGGCCACAACACAAGCGGCCCTCATCAGGTGACAGACAGCCTCATCCCCGGCCTAGACACAACCCTAACCGCGTTGCACCGACGGCATCGACCGAGACAGCCAACAATTGTCCGGCCGCGCAATTATCGAGTGAAGTCCGCGGCGACGAGGTGCAGCGAAGACAAAAGCGAGACGAGTCCACTCCCAGAACAGGCAGCCCGGAGCTCTCGCTCTCCGCTGCTTTTATTCTACTCGACGCGGCCTGGCTCCGCCCTGGCCGCGCCTCCCTTCTCGAACCCACTAGCGGGTTCCAGGGGGCCTCTCTACGAGGTCTTCCGTGACCCTTGCCCCAGTTCCTCCGCCCTGCCGGCACGCAGCCGTGCTCGACCGCAGCGCGTGCGCTAAGTGTCCACCGCAGTTGCCGCTGCTGGACAGCAGTCGGCGCTGTGTCACTACACTCGTGTAGAGGATGTTCGGGACATCCTCACACACAAACACCACACAACCACGGGTTAAGGGTCACGGGGGCGCTGCCGTGTACGCCACCCAAACCGATTATTGAGGGGAGGACACTCCGATCGGATTGGCCCCCAGCAGGATTAGCAGTGGAGGGGTCAGCCCGAGAAGGGAATGAGTGTTTAAAAAAAGGGCAGGCGATTTGGAGGGTTCGGGGTTGGTTTTCGACGATGAGTGGAAGTGCGGTGTGAGTTGCCTTGAGAATAAAGATCCTGCTTAAACCATCTCAAGTCTCCTCTTCACTAGTACTGCTGTAAGCATCGCCACGAGGAAGGCAAAGGACGTGGTTCTGGCCACTACACCCATCGCCTCGTGTACCACTCCGTCCTTCACAGGTCACAGTTTCAGTTTTTTTCAGTTTCATTTATTAGGATTTACGCTGTGAGCCATTCGGCTCTTGATTTTGGTGCAACTGCAACAAACAATAAAATTACAAGATACACCTAACAGCACTTGCCTCAACAGTCTGTCAATGCTATACGGGGGACCTTTGTCTGTTGTGTGTCGGGCGTGGTTGCTGACCCCCCCTCACCCTACCCGCCCCCCCCCCCACTTTGTTGCACCGCTCCGGCCTTCACAGGCGCCGCTTGCAAATGACCACATGCCCCCCCCCCCCCCCCCCATCATTCCGATAATTAACGGGAGCCCACACGGGTGGACCTGTCGTGCGTGTGTCTGCGTGGTGGGCCAGGAGGCGGCGTTGAGGGCCGCGCGGTGGTGCGGGTCGCGTCCCAGGCCCTCACGGTGGCCGTCGGCTCCTCGGCGCTGCTCAACGTCTCCTTCTCGCTGCAGCGGCCCACGGGGGTGGGCCCCCCCCCCGGGTCAGGCGACCCCCACGCGGAGGTGGACGTCGAATGGACGTTCCACAGCGGCGGCACGGAAATGCGCGTGGCCCAGCGCAAGCAGGGCATCACCAACCTGCGCACGTACGAGACGGGCGGGGGGGGTGGGGGCAGGAGGGGGGGCGGGGGGCAGGGGGTGTTGGGGTGAGGGGCAGCACCAACCTGCGTGTGCATGAGACTGGGGTGGTGGTGGGGGGGGGCAGCGCCAACCTTACCAGCGCACATTCAATATTTGTCCTGCACGGGCTCCACACCGCAGCCTGTGCTCCCCCGGACACCTCTCATGGTGAATGTCCCCGCGGGTTGAGACGAACGTGGCGCCGGCACAGCGAGGGCTCCACGCACCAGCGGATAGACCATGGCCGCCGGAGGGGATGTTCCAGCGGTCGTATGACGGGGGCGGCGTGACAGGGGCGGTGTTGTGACGTCGCCGTGAATGTGACGTCGCTGTGAATGTGACGTCGCTGTGAATGTGACGTCGCTGTGAATGTGACGTCGCCGTGAATGTGACGTCGCCGCGAATGTAACGTCGCCACGAATGTGACGTCGCCGCGAATGTGACGTCGCCGCGAATGTGACGTCGCCGTGAATGTGACATCGCCGTGAAAGTGACGTCGCCATGAATGTGACGTCGCCGTGAATGTGACGTCGCCATGAATGTGACGTTGCAGTGAATGTGACGTCGCCGCGAATGTGACGTTGCCGTGAATGTGACGTCGCCGTGAATGTGACATCGCCGTGAAAGTGACGTCGCCATGAATGTGACGTCGCCGTGAATGTGACGTCGCCATGAATGTGACGTTGCAGTGAATGTGACGTCGCCGCGAATGTGACGTTGCCGTGAATGTGACGTCGCCGTGAATGTGACATCGCCGTGAATGTGACATCGCCGTGAAAGTGACGTCGCCATGAATGTGACGTCGCCGTGAATGTGACGTCGCCATGAATGTGACGTTGCCGTGAATGTGACGTCGCCGCGAATGTGACGTCGCCGTGAATGTGACGTCGCCGCGAATGTGACGGTTCGGCAGGTACGATGGCCGCGCGCAGCTTTACCCGCTGAACGGCAGCCTGGTGCTGAACTCGCTCACCAAGAAGGACGGCGGCGTCTACACGGTGCACGTGACCGACACGGCAGACGGCGGCAAGGACCGCAAGCAGATCCGAGTCACCGTGCTCAGTGAGGCCCGCACCGCCGCTAATGCCACGGCGCCGGCGGCACTGGTGGTGCCGACCGACGCCAGGACGCCATGAAACGAGCTTTCGCGCACAACCAACCGCTCGGCGGCGTGAAGCCGGCCTTCGCAGCCACGACCCTGACCACCGCTTCTCCGCTCCGCTCTCTTCCCTGCCTTTCCCCGTAACCCCCCACCGCTCCCCCCCCCCCCCCGTCTCTGCGCAACCTCTCCCCCTCCAGACCCCGTCTGGGGGGTCTCGCTGTCCCCGTCGCCCAACCCGGCGGCGAGCGGGGCCTGGGCGGAGGGCCAGAACGTGAGCCTCTCCTGCTCCGTGTCGTCGGGCGACGAGGTCTCGCTGGCGTGGAGCCGCGATGGGGACCCCGCGCTCCTGTCGCGGCGCCACCTCCGCTTCGCCGACAACAACGCCACGCTCGCCATCGACGGGCTGCAGGCGGACGACGCCGCCACCTACGCGTGCGTCGCCTCCAACCGCGTGAGCCGCAAGGAGGCGTCGTTCGTCGTCACAGTTGAGGGTGAGTCGGGGGGGGGCGTGGCGTGGCGTGGCGGGGCGTGGCGGGGGGAAGGGGCGTGGCGTGGCCGGGCGGGGTGGGGGGGGCGTGGCGTGGTGGGGCGGGGCGTGGCGGGGAGGGCGGGGCGGGGCGTGGCGAGGTGGGGGGGAAGGGAAGTGGCGGGGTCGGTGCCGGCCTTCGCAGGTTGCTGCTGACGCGAACAGCACTTAGCCCATACTCTTTGGTTCTATTGGGTAAAGTCACGTGGGTAAAAAATAAAATAACTTAGCCCCGCACGGGTGTTGAGGCTATACGGTGGTGGTGGGGGGGGGGAGTATCTTTGTCTTTTTTGTTAGATGAGAGCGGTGGTGTAGGGGTTAGCGCTACACTGCGCTACGAACCCGGCGAACCGAGTTCGATTCCCACTCACGGCCAAGACCGGTGACGAATACCTGAACCGGTCCTGGGCCTCCCCTAGGTGGACTCAGCCTGAACTGAGTACCTGGTTCGGTGTGTAGTAAACATCGCAACTGGGGAGACAAAGGCGGTCGAACGTGGTGCTGGTCACCCACCCCCTCGTGTGCCGTGTCGGCCTTCATAGGTGGTACTCGCTAACAGCACTTGCCCCTACAGCCTGTTAAGGCTATACAGGGGATCTTTGTCTTTATTGATGGTGGTGGTGTTGGTGGTGCTGGTGTTATTGGTGGTGTTGGTGGTGGTGTTGTTGGTGGTGGTGTTGTTAGTGGTGTTGTTGGTGGTGTTGGTGGTGATAGTGTTGGTGGTGATAGTGTTGGTGGTGGTGTTGTTGTTGGTGGTGTTGGTGGTGTTAGTGGTGGTGGTGTTGGTGGTGTTGTTGGTGGAGGTGGTGTTGTTGGTGGTGGTGTTGGTGGTGTTGGTGGTGCTGTTGGTGGTGTTGTTGGTGGTGGTGGTGTTGGTAGTGTTGGTGGTGTTTGTGGTGGTGGTGGTGTTGGTGTTGTTGATGGTGTTGGTGGTGTTGTTGGTGGTGTTGGTGGTGATGTTGGTGGTAGTGTTGGTGTTGTTGGTGGTGTTGGTGGTTTTGGTGTTGGTGGTGGTGTTGGTGTTGTTGGTGGTGTTGGTGGTGGTGGTGTTGGTGTTGTTGTTGGTGGTGGTGTTGTTGTTGATGGTATTGGTGGTGGTATTGGTTGTGGTGTTGGTGGTGGTGTTGTTGATGGCGGTTGGTGGTGGTGGTGTTGTTGGTGGTGTTGGTGGTGTTGGTGGTGGTGTTGGTGGTGTTGGTGGTGTTGGTGGTGGTGTTGTTGATGGTATTGGTGGTGGTCAGAATCAGAATCAGAAAGGGTTTTATTCGCCATGAAAGTTCACACCGACACGGAATTTACTTTGGCAGGATGGTGCATACATTCAACATATAGGAATCTAAAATCTTAAATAAGTTTAAACAAGTCTTACTATAATAATAAGGGTTAAAAGTCTAACTAACACCAAGGGGCTGAAGTATATAAAATTGAATAAATATCGAATATAAAATAGCTTTAAGATATAATTAAAAAAAAATACAAATAGGTTAACATAGTTAATATCGGCAAGGTGTCATTATGTAGATAAAATGTTAAAATCAGTGTAAGCCCTTGGCCTTGTTTAACAGGCCAGCAGCAGATGGGAAGAAACTGTTTTTATGGCGTGAGGTTTTGGTCCTGATGGACCGAAGCCTTCTGCCGGAGGGGAGTAGCTGAAACAGAGAGTGTCCAGGGTGGGAGGAATCGGCCATAATCTTCCTCGCTCGCCTCATGGTCCTTGTCGTGTGCAGGTCCTCGAGGGTTGGTAGATTGCAGGCAATTACCTTCTCAGCAGTGTGGATGATACGCTGCAGTCTGCTCTTGTCCTTGGCAGTGGCAGAAGCGTACCAGACGGTTATGGAGGAGGTGAGGATGGATGCAATGATCGCTGTATAGAATTGCACCATCATTGTCTTTGGCAGGTTGAATTTCTTCAGCTGCCGTAGAAAGTACATCCTCTGTTGAGCTCTCTTGGTGAGGGAGCTGATGTTCAGTTCCCACTTGAGGTCCTGGGAGAGAATAGTGCCCAGGAAGCGGAAGGACTCTACAATTTTGACTGGGGAGTCTAACAGGGTGATGGGGGTGAGGGGGGCTGTATTCTTCCTGAAGTCCACAACCATCTCAACTGTCTTTAGAGCATTTAGCTCTAAGTTGTTCTGGCTACACCAGGTCACCAGGTTGTCAGCTTCCCACCTATAGTCAGACTCATCCCTACCAGAGATCAGCCCAATAAGGGTGGTGTCGTCCGCAAACTTCAAGAGTTTGACGGACAGATGATTGGAGGTGCAGCTGTTGGTATACAGGGAGAAGAGCAGTGGGGAAAGGACGCAGCCCTGAGGAGTTCCGGTGCTGATGGACCTGGAGTCAGAGATTTGTGTTCCCAGCTTAACGCACTGCTTCCTGTCAGACAGGAAGTCTGTGATCCATTTACAGGTGGTGTAGGGCACGTTCAGCTGGAAGAGCTTGTCCTGAAGCAGGGCAGGGATGATGGTGTTGAAGGCAGAGCTGAAGTCCACAAACAGGATCCTGGCGTAGGATGCTGGGGCGTCCAGATGCTGTAGGGTGAAGTGGAGGGCCATGTTAACTGCGTCATCCACAGACCTGTTGGCTCTGTAGGCAAACTGAAGGGGGTCCAGGAGAGGGTCTTTGATGGCTTTGAGGTGTGCCAGGACCAGGCGCTCAAAAGACTTCATTACCACAGATGTAAGGGCGACCGGTCTGTAATCATTTAGTCCTGTTGGCCTTAGCTTTTTGGGCACAGGGATGATGGTGGAGGACTTGAGACAGGCTGGTACATTGCATGTCTCCAGGGAGGTGTTAAAGATGTTGGTGAACACCGGAGACAGCTGGTCAGCGCAGTGCCTGAGGGTGGCTGAAGAGACAGAGTCCGACCCGGCTGCTTTCCGTGGATTCTGCCTCTTGAAAAGTCTATTAACTTCTCCCTCCTGAAAGGAGAGAATCGTCTCTGTAGTATGGGTGGGGGGTGGGGCCTCTTGGGTGGGAAGGGGTGGTTCAGGACAGTCCAATTGTCTTTCAAATCTACAGTAGAACTCGTTCAGGTCGTTCGCTAGGCGGGAGTCGTTAGTGGTGTGGGGGGCTCTGGGTTTGTAGTTGGTGATCTGCCTGAGCCCTCTCCAGACAGAAGCAGCGTCGTTAGTAAAGAACTCGTGTTTTAGCCTCTCTGAGTACAGTCGTTTAGCCTCTCTCGCCGCTTTGCTAAACCTGTTCTTCGACTCCTTGAATCTGTCTCTATCCCCACTCCTAAACGCTTCCTCCTTCTCCAACCTCAACCTTCTGAGCTTTGCTGAGAACCAGGGCTTATTGTTGTTAAAGTTCACCCTGGTACGTGTTGGGATACAGCAGTCCTCACAGAAGCTGATGTAGGACGTCACAGCCTCTGTGAGTTCATCCAGACTATTGGTAGCAGTCGTAAACATATCCCAGTCAGTACAGTCTAAGCACGCTAGCAAATCTTCCATAGCCTCACTGGTCCACTGTTTAGATGTCCTCACAGCAGGTTTACAGAGTTTTAGTTTCTGCCTGTATGCAGGAATCAGGTGGACCATGGCATGGTCAGAGTGTCCTAGTGCTGCTCGGGGGACGGCGTGGTAGGCTCTACTGACTGTAGTGTAGCAGTGATCCAGAGTGTTCCCTTCTCTGGTTGCGCATTTAATGAATTGTATGTATTTGGGGAGTTCGTGGCTGAGATTACCTTTGTTAAAGTCGCCAAGTACGATAACCAACGAATCTGGATTTGCTCGCTCCACACTCAGAATCTGATCGGCGAGCATGCGTTGGGCCTCTTTAACCTGAGGACAAGGCGGCAAATAAACTCCGACCAAAATGAGCGACGCGAACTCGCGAGGCGAGTAAAACGGTTTACAGGTTATACAAATGTATTCAAGAAGTGAAGAACAATGTTGCAGAATCACTGTGACATCTACACACCAGCCACTGTTAATGTAAAAACAAATACCACCGCCTTTCGTCTTGCCGGAGAGTGCTATGTCACGATCCGATCTTACAAGATGGAATCCTGCTAGTTGTAGCGAAGTGTCCGGAATCAAATCACACAGCCATGTTTCCGTGAAGCACAAAACAGAAGCTGAAAGAAAGTCTTTGTTTTTTACCATCAGTAGCTGAAGTTCATCCATTTTGTTGTACAGTGAACGTACGTTGGAGAGGAAAAAGCTCGGAAGCACTGTTCGGATCCCGCGTCTGCGTAGCCGTACTAGAGCCCCTGACCGTTTACCCCTTGGGCGGCGTTTCGCTGCTTGAGCAAAGCCTAGCGCGGCATTGACTAGAATGCCTACTAATTCTGCCGCTGGAAGCAGAAAAGTAGGGATTAAATTCACAAGTGTTGTTTCCCTGATATTTAAAAATTCGTCTCTTGTTAGAGAACTCCGAAAATCTTGGCAAAACACTGAATTGACAGACAAAACAAGACAAAACAGGGCGCACTGACCGGCTGAGGCTACCATCATCGGCGCCATCTTCGCACCAGCACGGGTGTGCTGAAGAGCAGGACTCTCTCACCAGCACTGATGTGTTGAACAGTAGGCTCCTCTCACCAGCACGGGTGTGATTAACAGTAGGCCTCTCTCACCAGCACGGGAGTGGTGAACAGCAGGCCCCTCTCACCAACACGGGTGTGATGAACAGCACGCCCCTCTCACCAGCACGGGTGTGTTGAACAGCAGGCCCCTCTCACCAACACGGGTGTGATGAACAGCAGGCCTCTCTCACCAGCACGGGTGTGTTGAACAGCAGGTCCCTCTCACCAGCACGGGTGTGCTGAACAGCAGGCCCCTCTCACCAACACGGGTGTGATGAACAGCAGGCCCCTCTAACCAGCACGGGTGTGATGAACAGTAGGCCTCTCTCACCAGCACGGGTGTGCTGAACAGCAGGCCTCTCTCACCAGCACGGGTGTGCTGAACAGTAGGCCTCTCTCACCAGCACGGGTGTGCTGAACAGCAGGCCCCTCTCACCAGCACAGGTGTGTTGAACAGCAGGCCCCTCTCACCAGCACAGGTGTGCTGAACAGCAGGCCCCTCAACAGCAGGCCTCTCTCACCAGCGCAGGTGTGCTGAACAGCAGGCCCCTCAACAGCAGGCCCCTCTCACCAGCACGGGTGTGCTGAACAGCAGGCCTCTCAACACGGGTGTGCTGAACAGCAGGCCTCTCTCACCAGCACAGGTGTGCTGAACAGCAGGCCTCTCTCACCAACACGGATGTGATGAACAGCAGGCCCCTCTCACCAGCACGGGTGTGTTGAACAGCAGGCCCCTCTCACCAGCACGGGTGTGCTGAACAGCAGGCTCCTCTCACCAGCACGGGTGTGCTGAACAGCAGGCCCCTCTCACCAGCACAGGTGTGATGAACAGTAGGCCCCTCAACACGGGTGTGCTGAACAGCAGGTCTCTCTCCCCAGCACGGGTGTGCTGAACAGCAGGCCCCTCAACAGCAGGCCTCTCTCACCAGTGCAGGTGTGCTGAACAGCAGGCCCCTCAACACGGGTGTGCTGAACAGCAGGCCTCTCTCACCAGCACGGGTGTGCTGAACAGCAGGCCTCTCTCACCAACACGGATGTGATGAACAGCAGGCCCCACTCACCAGCACGGGTGTGCTGAACAGCAGGCCCCTCTCACCAGCACGGGTGTGCTGAACAGTAGGCCCCTCAACACGGGTGTGCTGAACAGCAGGCCTCTCTCACCAGCACGGGTGTGCTGAACAGCAGGCCCCTCTCACCAGCACGGGTGTGCTGAACAGCAGGCCCCTCTCACCAGCACGGGTGTGCTGAACAGCAGGCCCCTCAACACGGGTGTGCTGAACAGCAGGCCTCTCTCACCAGCACGGGTGTGCTGAACAGCAGGCCCCTCAACAGCAGGCCCCTCTCACCAGCACGGGTGTGCTGAACAGCAGGCCTCTCTCACCAACACGGATGTAATGAACAGCAGGCCCCTCTCACCAGCACGGGTGTGTTGAACAGCAGGCCCCTCTCACCAGCACGGGTGTGCTGAACAGCAGGCTCCTCTCACCAGCACGGGTGTGCTGAACAGCAGGCCCCTCTCACCAGCACGGGTGTGATGAACAGTAGGCCCCTCAACACGGGTGTGCTGAACAGCAGGTCTCTCTCCCCAGCACGGGTGTGCTGAACAGCAGGCCCCTCAACAGCAGGCCTCTCTCACCAGTGCAGGTGTGCTGAACAGCAGGCCCCTCAACACGGGTGTGCTGAACAGCAGGCCTCTCTCACCAGCACGGGTGTGCTGAACAGCAGGCCTCTCTCACCAACACGGATGTGATGAACAGCAGGCCCCACTCACCAGCACGGGTGTGCTGAACAGCAGGCCCCTCTCACCAGCACGGGTGTGCTGAACAGTAGGCCCCTCAACACGGGTGTGCTGAACAGCAGGCCTCTCTCACCAGCACGGGTGTGCTGAACAGCAGGCCCCTCTCACCAGCACGGGTGTGCTGAACAGCAGGCCCCTCTCACCAGCACGGGTGTGCTGAACAGCAGGCCCCTCAACACGGGTGTGCTGAACAGCAGGCCTCTCTCACCAGCACGGGTGTGCTGAACAGCAGGCCTCTCTCACCAACACGGATGTGATGAACAGCAGGCCCCACTCACCAGCACGGGTGTGCTGAACAGCAGGCCCCTCTCACCAGCACGGGTGTGCTGAACAGTAGGCCCCTCAACACGGGTGTGCTGAACAGCAGGCCTCTCTCACCAGCACGGGTGTGCTGAACAGCAGGCCCCTCTCACCAGCACGGGTGTGCTGAACAGCAGGCCCCTCTCACCAGCACGGGTGTGCTGAACAGCAGGCCTCTCAACAGCAGGCCTCTCTCACCAGCAAGGGTGTGCTGAACAGCAGGCCCCTCAACACGGGTGTGCGGAACAGCAGGCCTCTCTCACCAGCACGGGTGTGATGAACAGCAGGCCCCTCAACAGCAGGCCTCTCTCACCAGCACGGGTGTGATGAACAGCAGGCCTCTCTCACCAGCACGGGTGTGTTGAACAGCAGGCCCCTCTCAAGACAAAACTGGACAAAACAGGGCGCACCAACTGGCCTAGGCTGCCATCATCATGTTGGTGGTGTTGGTGGTGGTGGTGTTGGTGGTGTTGGTGGTGGTGTTGGTGGTGTTGTTGGTGGTGTTGGTGGTGGTGTTGGTGGTGTTGTTGATGGTGTTGGTGGTGTTGTTGATGGTGTTGGTGATGGTGGTGGTGTTGGTGGTGGTGACAGTCAATGCTGATTCGTGGGTTTTTCGGCCCAGCGGCGTCAATCGCGGGCCCTGTATCTCACGGCGCGCGTTACAGGTCACGGCATCTTCAGCCGACTGCCGATGAGTGTGTATAATTATAATTATATAGTGGTGATAATAATTATTATAAAAAATATCACCACTGCACACGTGTTTGGAGGAAAACGGAGCGTACGGGAGAACCCCCCCCCCCCACGCGTGCGAGGGGGCAACACTCAATCCCCGTACAGACGGAACACATGACGGCGACGAGTCACACTTTGCTGTACCGCCCTCTCTTGGCGAGCCGGCGTAGCACGGGCACCCGCGGGTAGAAGGGAGTCCCACTACGACAACAACAATAATAATAACATCATCTGTGTGTGCGATGATCCAACAACTCACGCTTGCTGCTGCTGCTTCCATAGTGCTGGGTCACAGGTAGCCACGTGCAGCCACGTGCAGCAGCAACGTAGCTATCACCACCGTCATCATCACCACTACTCAGTCATCAAGTGGAACGGGCGCTGGCGTAGAGATTTCGCGGTTAGATTTCCCAGATAATTATTTGAGCCACGTTCGTAAAAAACAAACATTTATAAGTGTCAACCATTGCCCAACCCCCCCCCCCCCCCAACTCTCCACTAACCGGTGCTGAGTGGCTTATGCGCCGCACCGGGACAGCTGCCACTGGGCGAGCCCTGCGGATGTGGAGAGACGAGACGCGAAAAGAACCTCATGGCAGTACCCCGGGGGGTTACCAGAGTGCCCCGGCTCTAGCACAATGTCCGTGACGCAGTCACTTTTAGTCTGTTGATGGTCGGCGACGCGGCAGTCGACTCATCTCGACGAGCCGTACTCACGATGCACCACCACCACCACCGCCACGGTGCGTGCCGCGAGCGTTCAGGGTTTCGGCGGAATCGTCCTCGCTTCGTTTCGACATCGCGGAGTGTGGCACCGACGTCGGATTGACTGGAACCCCAGTCGCGGAGTGAAGTAACACCCCTGGACAAAACAAGTGTCCCAGAAATAACATATTTAATTGCCTCGGCCCATTTTGTATTATTGGGCACCCCGGGGTACCTCCATAAGGATCAATTGTTGAAGCGGGTTGAGCTGTTGAGTGGAAGGCTGCCGGGAAAGAGGAGATGCTGAAAGGCTTCGGGGGTTTGGCTGCGAGGTGGCCGGACATTCGATGGATTCCCAAATCGATCTGTGCGGAGTTGCGAATGTCGCCCGTTTCCTGCGAATGGTGGGTTGCTCCGGCCGGAGGGAGGGAACGTGGAGGAGAGTGGAGTGAGATGAGAGGGGAGAGGTAGGAGAGTGCGTGAAGGGGAGTAGAGTGAGATGAGAGGGGAGAGGTAGGAGTGTGCGTGGAGGGGAGTGGAGTGATATGAGAGGGGAGAGGCAGGAGAGAGTGTAGAGGGGAGTGGAGTGAGATGGATAGAGTGAGGTAGGCAGGAGTGAGTCACATCACACAAGCAGAGCGGTTGACGTTTTGATTTAAAGCTTTCGTGACTGCAGGGATTCATATTCTTGGTTCTTTCGGTAAAGTCACGTAGATATCTAAAGAATACGGTGAATGTTTGACAATCTCCAGGGAGAAGATGGAAGGTAAAGATTCACTCAGAATCGGACATCAACGGAATATGGAAATAGACGCCCCACGCCCCAAAGACGGAAGACTGTAATTGTCCATGCCTGGAGGTTGTGTTATTTTTAGTTTTTCAAAAGGGTACTTTCCAATAACATTTCGTGTAAAAAAATAAAAAAATGACTCACTTAGAGAACCAAAGACGATTAGAGACCCATAGACATGCGGGGACAGTTTGGGTCACCTGAGATTGAGTGCAGACCTCCTGTCGCCAACATCGTCAGTAACGTTATCCCAAGACCTCCTGTCGCCAACATCGTCAGTATCGTTATCCCATCATCAGTACCGTCAGTAGCATCAGCATCATGAGCACCATCAGCACCATCAGTAGCAGCAGCATCATTAGCACCATCATCATCAACATTATCATCACCATCATCATTATCAACACCATCATCACCTTTATCAGCATCATCATCATCATCAGTGTCGTCATCGTCAGCAGCGTCACATCCCGTGGTGGTGCACACGTGGTGGTGGTGCACACGTGGTGGTGGTGGTGGTGGTGCACACGTGGTGGTGGTGGTGCACACGTGGTGGTGCACACGTGGTGGTGGTGGTGCACACGTGGTGGTGGTGGTGCACACGTGGTGGTGGTGGTGCACACGTGGTGGTGCACACGTGGTGGTGGTGCACACGTGGTGGTGCACACGTGGTGGTGCACACGTGGTGGTGCACACGTGGTCACCGCAGTCGGTCGTTCTCCAACTCGCGGTAGCGCGGGTAGGGGGGGTGGGGGCCACCGCGTGGGGATCTTCGAGCTCCTCCAAGGCCTCAGCGTAGCAGAGCGGACCCACAATAACCCCCCCTGCCACCCTCTCCCCGTCAAGGGGGCTCCCTCTCGCGACACGCCCACCTTCCGTCAGCAGGGGCGCCATTGCAGGGCTGCCCCTTTAGCTTCGCGGGTTCGCCTGCTGCGATGCGCTGCGAGTTGTGAGGACTTCAAGGTCAGGACGCGCGGTGTGTCTCGCCCCCACCCCCCTCCCCTACCGCGGCGTGATTCACGCTTGAAGGAAACGGCGCCGCGAGGCTGGGACGCGGAACGCCGTGGAGCGCAGGCGTGATCCCCCTCTTCATACTCAGCTGGTGAGCCGCAAGGGACCCCGGTCACTCACCGGGGACCCGGTCACCCACGGGGTGTTTCCTAAAGAAGACGCATCAGAGACGCCGTGACGGGTTCCTGGTGTCCAGCCGTGGTGGTCGAGCCCTGGGGTCTGGGTGTCTCAGAGACACCCAAACCCCAGGCCACCAAATAACCACCTCCCTCCCTCCCTCACCACCTCCCTCACCACCTCCCTCTCTCCCTCCCTCACCACCTCCCTCACCACCTCCCTCTCTCCCTCACTGCCTCACTACCTCCCTCTCTCCCTCCCTCACCACCTCCCTCACCACCTCCCTCTCTCCCTCCCTGCCTCACCACCTCTCTCCCTGCCTCCCTCACCCACTCCCCGTTCCTCGCGCGTGGCGTGCAGTCTGCTGATCGTTGCCTAAGTGGCAGCCCAACACCCATCAGCACCATCAGCACCCTCGGAGCAGGAAGAAGAAGAAGAGCGAGCGAGCGAGCGAGCGGAGGATGAAGAGGAGGGACGAGGAAGACGATTGTAACTTATTTAAAAGAAGAACACGTTATTCAATCCACGTGCGCCGCATTCTCCTCATCCTCCCTCCTCCTCCCTCCCTCCTCCTCGCCATTCACTCGGCGTCCTTCAGCTGTCGATGTCCGTGATTGACTGTCGTTGCTTTCTCGCCGCGTTGTTTCGTCTCCGCACGCGATGCCACCGCGTTGTTTCGTCTCCCCGTCCCTTCGTTCGCGAACGCAGTATTCTTTTGATCTCACGCGGTTGCTTCACTTCTCCCTCCCTCCCCCCTCTCTCTCAACGACTTGCCACAAACTGTGAGCCGCGTGTCATCATCCCTGACACGAGCGCGTGGCTGAGCCCCGATTGTAATCGTGGTGGAGGCCCTCTGGCGGGGTAGCTTGAGTTGAGACCGAGCCGCGCGTAGCCAACCGCGCCGGATCACTGAAACTAAAACGCCGCTATTGCACGGTCAACCCCGGGGTGACCACCCCCCACGCCCCCCAGGCAAACCCAAATGTAGACGTCTATGAGGAGCTTCGTATAACGGTCAGGTCGGATCGCAACGCTGTCGCGCTGCGATCCGACCTCGGGAGGCGCGCCCCAGCGACCCGCGCGTAACTAAAAGGGCGCTAACGGCGGCCCCCGCTTTGTCTGTCCACGACCCCGTCGGCCGCGCGAACGCGCAGTGCGTAAATGTCAAGCGGCGCGAGCAACGACAACAAACAACAACAACAACAAACTCTCCGACGTTCGGATGTCTCGTCGGGAGCAGAGCGAGGCTCGCTCGGACCGATGCCCTGGTTAGATCTGTTTGCAGGACCCGACAGGTCTGAAAAAGGGGAATCGCCTGGCCCGCTGGACGCGTGAACGCGCCCCTGGTCATGACGGACAAGCGCGTTCGAAATGCGCGGCGGAGAACGAACAACGCCGAGCGGATTGTGAAGGGGAGGAGGCGCCGGTCGTCCGCTGTTCCTCCTCGCCCTCTTTATATTCTGCCCCAAGCGGTGACTCCTTCCAGGATCGCGACGGCGTCGCTTTGTTTGGGCATTGACTCCGAAGAGTCACGCGCCGAAATGTGAGAAACGATGAAATCGCACGTACACCGAAATTTATCTTAATTAAAATATTTTTTAAACCCCCCCCCCCCCCCCCCCACTTGAAGAGCTCAAGTTGAAATCAACAACGGTGGGGCCAAACGGTTTGAGCTCTTTTCAAATCACCAAGGTGGTGAAGGTGGCGTCTGGCCCCACGCTTGGTGATTTCAACTTGAACTCAAAGGTGGTGTCTGGTGCCAAACACCACCTTGGTGATTTGAAAAGAGCTCAAATTCAAATCACCAAGGGGTGGTGTTTGACGCAACGTTGGTCCCGCAAAAGGTGACTCAACGTTGGTCCAGCAACGTTGAGGAGGTAGGAACTGAATAGACAGAGAGAGAGAGCCCCCCCCTCCGCCAACCCCCCAACCCTAACCGTCCCTGCCGCGTTCGATCGTCGCTCGCGACTCAACGGAGCTGCGGGCGGCGAAAAATATCGGAAGCGGTCCCGGGCCTCCCCCTCGAAGGAACGACCCGGAGCCTTCGATGAGCAGTTTGGTGCGGCAGCACGGCGTGGTGCCGCACCACTCCCCCCCACAACCCGTGCCGGATGAAGCTCGTGCGGGGCCTGTAGGATTATGTTATAAAGGGGCCCTGAATCATATATAAAAAGCACGTAAATATTAAAACACGTAAATTATTTACTTGCATAGTAAAGTAATTGTATTTTTTTCATTTGCTACGCAGCCAGATAATACGACAAATCGCTAACCTTGAACACCCAGTCGTTCATAAACGTCGAAGGCGGTATAGTACTATAGTAATAGAGCAAGTGCAGAATCACTGAAGCGGAATTGACAGCTTGAGAGCATTTAGCGCGGGGCCCTTGAAAGTGCGGGGCCCGTAGCTACCACTACACGTGTAGTGGTAGCTACTACACGTGTAGTAGTAGTGCACGTGTAGTAGTACACGTGCTACACATGTAGTAGCTACCACTACCACTACGACACGTGTGTAGTAGTAGCTACGTGTGCTACTTCTACACATGTAGTAGCTACCACTACACGTGTAGTAGCTACTACTACTACACACACGTGTGTGTGTGTAGTAGTAGCTACTTGTGCTACTACGACACGTGTGTGTGTGTAGTGGTAGCTACTTGTGTTACTACTACACGTGTGTGTGTGTAGTAGTGGTAGCTACTTGTGCTACTACTACACGTGTGTGTGTGTAGTAGTGGTAGCTACTTGTGCTACTACGACACGTGTGTGTGTAGTAGTAGTAGCTACTTGTGCTACTACGACACGTGTGTGTGTGTAGTGGTAGCTACTTGTGCTACTACGACACGTGTGTGTGTGTAGTAGTAGTAGCTATTTGTGCTACTACGACACGTGTGTGTGTAGTAGTGGTAGCTACTTGTGCTACTACGACACGTGTGTGTGTGTAGTAGTGGTAGCTACTTGTGCTACTACGACACGTGTGTGTAGTAGTGGTAGCTACTTGTGCTACTACGACACGTGTGTGTGTAGTAGTAGTAGTAGTAGCTACTTGTGCTACTACGACACGTGTGTGTGTGTAGTAGTAGTAGCTACTTGTGCTACTACGACACGTGTGTGTGTGTAGTGGTAGCTACTTGTGCTACTACGACACGTGTGTGTGTAGTAGTGATAGCTACTTGTGCTACTACGACACGTGTGTGTAGTGGTAGCTACTACATGTAGTAGTGGTAGCTACTTGTACTACTACGACACGTGTGTGTGTAGTGGTAGCTACTACATGTAGTAGTGGTAGCTACTACATGTAGTAGTGGTAGCTACTACATGTAGTAGTGGTAGCTACTACATGTAGTAGTGGTAGCTACTACATGTAGTAGTGGTAGCTACTACATGTAGTAGTGGTAGCTACTACATGTAGTAGTGGTAGCTACTACATGTAGTAGTGGTAGCTACTACATGTAGTAGTGGTAGCTACTACATGTAGTAGTGGTAGCTACTACATGTAGTAGTGGTAGCTACTACATGTAGTAGTGGTAGCTACTACATGTAGTAGTGGTAGCTACTACATGTAGTAGTGGTAGCTACTACATGTAGTAGTGGTAGCTACTACATGTAGTAGTGGTAGCTACTACATGTAGTAGTAGTAGCTACTTGTGCTACTACTACATGTAGTAGTAGCTACTTGTGCTACTACTACTACATGTAGTAGTAGCTACTTGTGCTACTACTACATGTAGTAGTAGTAGCTACTTGTGCTACTACTACATGTAGTAGTAGTAGCTACTTGTGCTACTACTACATGTAGTAGTAGCTACTTGTGCTACTACTACTACATGTAGTAGTAGTAGCTACTTGTGCTACTACTACTACATGTAGTAGTAGTAGCTACTTGTGCTACTACTACTACATGTAGTAGTAGTAGCTACTTGTGCTACTACTACATGTAGTAGTAGTAGCTACTTGTGCTGCTACTACTACTACATGTAGTAGTAGTAGCTACTTGTGCTACTACTACTACTACATGTAGTAGTAGTAGCTACTTGTGCTACGAGGGTAATCCGGCACTGCCCACGTTGTCGTCGTGCGCCCTGACAGCACTCGCCCCAACAGTCCCACGTGGGCTACAGGGAGGAGTGGGGGGGAGATCTGTGGGGATCTGTGGGGATCTTTGGGGATCTTTGGGGATCTGTGGCTTGCTGGTTCCGCCTGGGTGGGCCACGCTGAGCGAGCGTAAGGAGGAAGGGGGTGGGGGCGGATCTCGGAGGTAGCCGTCGCCTTTATATATTTATTTATCACTCGCGGCGGCAGAGGGGGGGGGGCGGTCAGCCAAGCCCCCCCCCCCCCCATCCCCCGGCCAGCGCTCCGTCGAAAGTTCAGATTCGCTGCCCGCGCGTCGTCGTCGTCGTCCGAGCACGGCGACGTCCGACGTTTCGCTGCCGCGTTCCTGGGAGATTCTTCCCGCGACCTTAATCGTTAGCGTTGAAAAGAGGTGGCCCAGGTCTGCGGCCTCGGCTTGCCGGAATCTTCTACACTCGAGTCCGACTCTGGTAGTGGACACGAGGAGATGCGGACTCGACCACGATCGACAGGAACCACGGACTCCGTAGGTCACGTGATAGCGCATGACACCACGCACTTACACGGAACGCGTTTACCGGCACCGACTTGACCGACAAACAGGTCCCTGCAGGGTGGGCTGGTAGGAACATTGGAATTTTGCGCAATTTTATGACATTGTTACTTCCAAATGTTGGGTGCAATAAGACATATCAAGTCTCTGCGCTGTTTATTGCTGATTTTACACCCAACAGCACGAGATTTCACTTCGTTAAAGTATTGAAAGGGGACGGACGGACGGACACATTAATCTATTGCAGGCTGGTACACTCAGTTCACAACTTCGTTCCTACCAGTATTATCGGAACGCTTTCAACGGGGCCAATAGACTCGCACCGAACCCACACGCACACACTTACATAGAGACCCGTAGACATACATAGAAAACATATAATAATGCATGACCCACATACTTAGAGAAACCTGTGGACAGACATACATAGGCACTGTAGAATAACATTTTACCCATATTCTTGCAGGGGACCCATAGACATACATACATAGATAGTATAGAATAGCATTGTACCCACGGACTTACAGAGACCCATAGACATACATAGATACTATACAATAGCATTGTACCCATGCATTAATAGACGCTAATCGACACACGTAGCGGGCGACGTAATAACGCAGAGCTCACGGGGCTTACGTAGGAGTTGAAGGCAGCGGTTTGTGTACATGCTACGAAAGGTCAGTCAGTACGTCACGGGGACAGCCGTGGCCAATGCATCACCCCCCTTCAGCTGCTGCTGCTGTTGTTCTAAGTTGAGGACGGCTGACTGCTGCAACTAGCGCTGATGCCTCTTCGCGGTCGTTTAGTGGTCCGCGCGTTGTTCGGAACGACGCCCGACGTTTCGCACGCACGGGTCCCGAATCCATTCGGAAATCGCGGGCGAGGTTCGCGTCACGTGACGCCAGTCGGGGCTCAAATTGGGGTGGGGTGGAGTGGTGGGGGGGGGGGTCAATCGACGGATTGAGACCCAGAGCGACGCTTGGCCGATCACGCCCAGTCGTATAGACAGGACCGCAGAGCGCGGGCAATTGTTGGGTAGCGTCCGGCTCCTCGTCGCGTGTGGCTGCCGCCGCCGCTGCTGCTGCTGACTTCTCGCTCCTCTGAGTCGTCCGCTGTCTCTCTCTCTCTCTCCGCACAGCGTTAACACAATGTCGCTTATTCTACACCGTTATTTTGTCTCATTGTAATAGCCGTGGCAGCAGCGCTTCGAGGGTTTCCTGTGGAAAGGGCGGGTCACGGCGTTCCGCATTCAAACCGACCGCACGCACCAAAGCAAACATCAGCGCTTCGTGATAATTTAATTGTGTTATTTTATTTTATTATTTTATTCTCATTCTACGTGACTTTACCGAAAGAACCAAAGAAGATCAGCGCTTCTAGTTTCATTTTATTTTGCAACGGAACTCTAAATTACCAATCAGCAAAACAAGCAGAGAGAGAGCGGTCAAATTCACTGGGAACCCACAGCACAGGGGGGCCCCCCACACCCCCCCCACCACCATGCACCCCCCCACTACACCCCCCCCCACCACGCCCCCCCTTTCCGCACCCCCTCTCCACACCCCTCCCCCAAACCGCGCCCCCCCCATCGCCCGTCCCCATCGCCCCCCCTCCAAACCCCCCATCGCCCCCCCCTCCACACCCCCCCATCGCCCCCCCCTCCACACCCCCCATCGCCTCCCCTCCACACCCCCCCCCCCCACCGCGCCCCCCCCTCCCATGTTTCAGTCCGGCAGCAGCCCGCGCTCCGTGCTCCCCCTCCTCGTGCCTAGCAGCGAGCGAGTTGGCTTTACTGTACGCCCGACTTCTTTCGCACCGTACGCAGCAAGTCGGAGGCGGTGCGGGTGAAGGACAACAAACTGCGCACGCGCACACGCACACGTACACACACACACACACGCACACACACACACGCACACACACACAGGCACACACACACGCACACACACACACGCACACACACGCACACACACACACGCACACACACACACACGCACACACGCACACACACACGCACACACACACACACAGGCACACACACACACGCAGACACACACACGCACACACACACACACGCACACACGCACACACACACACGCACACACACACACACGCACACACACGCACACACACACGCACACACACACACACACACGCACGCACACACACACACACACGCACACACACGCACACACACACGCACACACACACACACGCACACACACACGCACACACACGCACACACACACACGCACACACACGCACACACACACACG